CCTCCGGCTCGCAGAAATTCGACAGAAAGATGGTCTGGTCCTGGAGCCGTGGATGTCTTCATGGTCTGGATCGCCGTGCGCACTTCAGCAGGTAGAATTCGTGGTGGTACTTCTCCAGTGGGAACAACGGGCATCGGCACGGGTGTTGATGAGCGGAAGAGGTTGGTATAGAAGTTCTTCGCGATAGATTCCATCTTGTATCGGGAAGAAGTCGGAGTCCCGTCTTCGTTCAATAGTGCAGCCAGCGGTACGTGATATTCACAGAGGTCCCTTCGGCATTTCTTAAGACTTCGTCTTTCTTCGGCTGCTTCCAGTATCTTGGCTTGCCTGTACTTCCTGAGATCCTCCTGCAAAGCTGTTCTGCAACTGGCGTTGGCTATCAGTCGCTCGAGATGGGTTGCATTCGGATCCTGCCTCAGAAATCTTCTTCTTTCGAGCAATTCCTTGGTGGTCTTCGATATACGTTCCAAGTTCTTCTCAGAAGTCACTGAGGCACATTCTCCGCAGGCTCGCAATCCTTTCAGAAGCCGGTCGTAGTCATACGTTGGGTCCTCCTCGATGGGCCAGTCACATCTTGATATGAGCTCCTCCAGCCTGTTACCGTCGTAAACGACTTCCTTCCTTCTCGCGGCACTGTGACAGACTTTCTTTTCCAGCCTTGCGGGGCATAACACGAGACTATTCGAAGCGTGGCATCATCTGCTTCGATCTTCATCGCCATCAATCTATCTGAAATGCGCCTCGGTTACTAATTCGCAGTATCTACCGCTGACGATGATCGCGACTCCATTCTGGCGGCTGCTATCTTCCGTGTAGTACAAACGATATCCCTAGCCGATGTCCTTAGCCTGCCTCCTTTCCATTTCGTTTCCTGTACACATGCGATGTCGATGTGTCGCCCCTTCAGCCTATCACATAGCTCCCGGCTGCGGCTCGTCAGCGTTCCTATATTAATCGTCGCTAGTCGGAGTTCCTGGACTCGCTTCTTTGGCCTGCCTCGTCCGGGGACAGGTAGCCCTAGCTCACTATTTGCGCCATGCGGGCAATGACGCGCGTCGCCTCCGGGGGACGCCCTAGCAGCTTGACGAAAATCCTTAATAGTCCGATGCATGTGACACGACTGATTCGTACAGTCCCCGGCGCGTCGCTCCGCCTGACGGGACAGTGTCCTCGTCGTTTGCCGGGGTTGATCCCCGTTGCCAGCCGGCACCGCGGGGAGGTGGCGATGGGACTTTGCCGGCCGGACGATTGGAGTTCCTATGGAAATAAATCAGAGAAAGAAGAAAGATTTTCGAACACGGTATTTGGACCAGAGAGCACCGAGTCGCATTAATTATGTAAAGCTCGTCATTGTCAACAAAAGATGCTTGTTTGACAAAGGTTTTGCCAAAATGCAGATATGCTCGAGAAATGTTATATTAGGTTGTCCCAAAAGTAAACTCCTTTTTTTGAATAACTCAAGCTGTTTTTGTTTTCGTAGTACATTTAGGGTATCATTCGATAGAGCAGACAAGCTCTACAAAATGACCTCCAAGGGTCCGCCGAAATCGCCTTCCATATAAAGTTTGAAGCCAAAATCGAAAAAAATTTTGTCACCTGAAAATTGGATTTCTGCGACAAAGAATCCTACAGACCTCCAACTTGGTCATTATACATTAGGCATATGGTCGTACACAAATATGCCTTTATCGAATCTTTTCCGAGCATAGAAAGCGAGAAACAAAAATTGTCCAAAAATGGCAAACTCCGCCCCCAGCCCCTCCCACATATGTCATTGTATACTACAAACCTTACTAAGTATAATTTCAAAACCTTACCTCTCTATGTGCTCTTATAACCAATAAATACCAAGTTTTACATAAAAAACCCGAAAAAAGTGGCATTTTGGTTTTTTGGGACCCTATTTATTTCTCAATTTTGAGCTTCGGAAAAAATGCACCAAATACATTTTCGGGTACTACTATGTGTCTACTATATAGAGACCAAGTTGGAAGTCCGTAAAAATTCTCTGGAAGGAGATCCGATTTTTTAGGTAGCTGAAAAATTTTGATTTTTGGCTCCAAAATTTACCTAGGTTACGAATTAGATGGAACTTTGGTAGTTTTTTTGTAGAGCTTGCTGTGCTCTAACGATTGGTATTTTAAATCTGTCAAAAAAACAAAAACAGCTCAAGTTATTTGAAAATGCAGTTTACTTTTGAGACAACCTAATATATAGGGAATCTCCGCAGTCTTAGAATTGCCTAGGTGAAATTTCAACAGTTAACTTGAAATGAGCTAACATACCCCACAAAGAAAGTGGCTTTTTTCCCAAATTTGCTTTGTTTTACTTTTCAAACCATGTCATTTTTTTTATTTTAAATGCCAGCTGAAGTCATTGAGGATCGTTTACAAGGGATTCTTTTTTCAATTAATGTAACTAACAATAGCCAGTTTTGCACTGGTAGCTACTAGGACAGCTCGTGCTATTCAACAGGGAAACCCAGCATATCCGACTTATGGACGCGCTTTCAAAAGCTACTATCTTTTCCTAATCGTAAGATACATTCTTATTAAGAACTCTTTTGCCTGCTTTACAGAACACATACCAGTAAATTCTGCTGCTTTTTCAAAAATACTTTTGTAGCCTTTATAAGCGTTCCGTCAGCTAGTTTCCGCCCATAAGCTCGTTGACACTGAATGAGTGACCTGTATCATTTTTGTAGGCGGCAGGGTTTCGAGATGCAGAGGCCAGTTGTACTGATGCAATTCACATCTGCTTTGGCCAAGACTTCCGTGTTTAACGTTCAAACCAGATCGGTTCTATTCATCCACTGGCAGCCTACCGTTATTGTTTGGATCATCAGTCCTTATATCTATCTATGGGACCTAGGACATACTGAAGTCATTTTTGTTTTGTGCTTAATCTTTTGCCTTCTTCCCGATGCACTCAGTGTTTAATACAAAAACAAGAATGTTCTTCCCTAAAATATCTTTTAAGATGGAAGGCTCTCTTAGCAATTCAAGCACACAATCTAAGCATAGCGAAAATCGGTGTACTACTGTATACCTTAAAGCAAGGTAAGGGCAAGCAGGGGCCATCAGCTGAAGCTTTTATCGACGACAAGTAAAATGAGATCAAACGTCAAAATGTCGGCAAGGTTTCGCACGGAGGAAGCCTCAAATGGATTCGCTCACAAAAATTCATTTGAAGCCAAAAATACACGGATTCTCCTTGGCTGAATCTTCAAAATATAGGCTATTCATTGATGGCTATTAAAGGTGTCCGCCTGTTGTTATTTGAGAGCATTACCGTGTTAATTGAGACGATATCGAAAAAACTGTAAAATTCTCCGACTGTTTCTCTCTAGCTTGCCTTTCTCATTCTACAATTTTCATAATAGGAAAAAAACAAGCTCAGTATAGCAAGGTTTGAATTGCTTAGAAATGAATCCTGAAAAGAGTTATAACACTTTAAATCAAATGATATGCCAATCGGAGTGCAACTTTGAAACGACCTAGTTGTGTGAATATGTATTGCTGTCTCTTGCACAATCAGTGAACGATAGTCACATTCATCAATCAATACAAACACTCTCTGATTCTTTCTTTCCTCTATGCATTATTCCATAGTAGTGCTGTATTGGTCTGCATTCAAAACAAAGTTTTGATCACCCAACTTCAGGGCGTATAGCTTCGCAAATACACAAGACAAGTTTCGCGTAATAATATTCATGATCCAACTTATTGTTAGCTTTATATCGTTATTCAGCTTATTAGATCACTTCGGAACAACACAAAAAATGGACTTCATGTGATGGAGAACTGGTACAGAGGCATTCGGTAGATACGAACACATGCCAAGCTCATCAGCATGTAGAATGGAGCTCGATCTTACGTAAACATATGTAACATCAGACAGTCTGACACAGCTCGGAATGAAATACTGGTAGACAAGATGATCAACATTCGGGGTGGCAAACATACCTTTGGACGATTTTTTTGATAGACATAAGCACTGCAGTGCAAATACAGCACGATTTTCTTTTTAAGCACCGGATTTTTTTCCAAGAGAAAGTACAGGAGTATTGGAATCAAATTGGTTTCATGTAGAAACTCTGACTGCAGATTTAGGATTACTTACCTACTTGATATGAAATGCTTGAGCCTTGGCAAGGTTGCGTAAGGCTCGTCAATGTAAAAACGCTTTTTAGTTATGTATAAGTGATTTATGACACGCAAAGGCTGGGTGCCGTTGCGTCTGATTTAGATTGCATGGGAGAGACACCAGAAAGTTAAAAAAAACAAAAGTGCGCTCGAAAACACCGATACGTCCGCAGCCTTAGCGCGCTACGAGTGGTCCATAGCTGAGGAGCAGTGGGGGTCCCAGGATTTCGGACCGGGAGGGGACAAAAAATTTTTTTTCTAATGACCGAAAATTTTTTTGGGTGCTTCTCAAAATTTTTGCGGGTCCCGGGGGGGGCACCCCCGCTCGCTCCGCCACTGCAAAGGAGTGTTTTAGGAGTGCGTATTGTGCACATAAACAAATTTACCACACCCCTTCCACTTTCGGCCTCGAATTTGACATATGTCATTTCGCTTTGGTTCCTGCGAATGATCTTGATAGCAGACTGAAAAGCGCGACCAACCAATGAAACAATTTTTTCATCTTTGCAATGATTTGTTTATCTGCACTCAGTCAAGGGCCCCATGCAGATTTCAAATGTTTAAAGTACAGTTCTGTCGCGATAAGGGTATCATTGCTTCTAATAGGAATTGTCTTCAAATATAAGGCATTGGAAATTCGGCGGCTGCAGCGGAGCGGTAGTAGTGTATCCAAAAAATATCGTAGTTCACCACTTGCTGCAAGTGATAGCCAAATAACAACCGCAAAGGTCCTAAAACAAACAGACAATAACGCGGTTGAACTAAATCACAATATGGCTTGTAAAACTATATGACATGTATGCAAAGTTACGTCTGAATGTTTATAAAATAATTCATTGAGTTTTGATTCAATACTTACATCGCAAAGTAAATGTTCAAAACCTCCCAAAGAAGTTGCCCGACAAGATCGCTTTCATTGAAGACCAAAACTGGTGGAAAGGCGAAAAAAGCTCCAATAAATGCCCAAACAGCATAAGCAATCGACGAGTAAGTCAGCCACTGAATTGCAGAGTCATAAAGAAACCATAGAACTATTATTCCCAAGTCGCGTCCTGCTCAAAGTAATTTTCCACCAATGTTCGTCAAATTTTTCTTGCAGGACTCCTCCTTGAATGAGCATCACATCATACCACTTTCACCACTGGACTCTCACAATTTATAGAATAATACGAGTAAAAATTTGTTCGTCTACATGTTACGAGTAAAAATTTGTTCGTCTACATGGTTCAAACAGTGGAAATGAATCGGATTCGAAGAGATTGCGACACTGCACTTTGGATGCTTGGGAATAAATAAAAAAATCTCAGTGATGGCTATTGCATTACATCTATTGAGTTGTTTAAAAACTCTGCTCGTTTCGGAGTCCAAAGTCAATTCCCCATAACTTTTTGGAAACGGTGATTACAAGTGTAATGAATTGTGTTACAATTTTCAAATCCTTGGCAATCCCATGCATACTCAATAATATCGCAGCCACTATTTATGCAAAATCGCCTAACAGCTCTTTAAGCAAATTTTTGACAGACCAGAAGTTTATCAAATGTAGCAAAATTTCGCAAGCACATTTCGACTTGTAGTCAGTAGCCGGCACAGCATTGCTGCCAACAACTTCATTGTTTTTTGGAAAAAATTTTCTGGAATTCTAAATAACCCACTTATCAAGTTTTCTTTGAAGTGGCGAAATGATGCACATTTAAGCTTGTTCTCCTCTAAATTAAGAAGAAACATTTTGTTTGCTTTTTTGCTGAATATGGTGTAAAGATTTCGTGATTATGGATTTTTTGCGGCTTTCAAGGAACGTAACGACAGTTTATGTTTGCGCTAAAAGTGTACGAGCTCGAAATTTTCCTGAAAACCGATAAGCATTTCGTAGCATAAGACCCTTGCAAACATTACACTTGTAAAACAGATTCTCTTCTCTGCCTGTTGAGATTAAGGCAATAAAGCAGAAAGTAAAAAACCATACGTTTGTTGTCGTTCAAGGTGAAACCACGGAATAAGCAAAGCTTTTTGTAACGAAAACATCCGTAAGAAAAATGGAAAAAACTTGGAAGATTTTGAGCAATGTTCGTGGATTGCTCTTCTCTTTAGAACTAGCTTTTTAATGAAAAGGCCTAAAAAAGATAGAATACGCGTCAACAGATTGCCTGAATCATTTCGGTTGAAATACGCGTCAATGGATTGCCTCCCAATCATTTCGGTTAAAATAAGACGTGCATATAATGAACAATGAAAGTTTTTGGAGATGCTATAGATGCCTGCAAATGCATGCTAGATTATTACCTTTGTAACACGAACGTTTTCGGCCAATTGAAACTTCATGCTCAATGTGTTATTGAGTTTTGAATATCCGGTCATGCTTTCAAGATCGCGAAGCTTAGCGGCATCACGTTTATGCACCACTATCATGGCTGCTAATGAGAATATAGTTATAGACAATGAGAGCGCAGCAAGAGGAACCATAGTGTGTTTGCCTGCAATCAGAATTTTACAAATGCATTCTATAATTCGCTTGATTTCGTTAACGCAAATAAGCATTATACATCAAAGCATATTCTATCACACATAAAAGCAAAGATGAAGTTCTAAACGTGCCCAAAATTGTTACTGTTCTGGAATGGACTCAAAATCTATATGGCCTTCCCGAATAAGTCATCGTCGCAATCAGTATTCAAAGCTGTTCTCAATACCCTTTTCAATACTTCTCAAGCAACTTCCGTGAAGTTTGACTACCAATTTACAAGGAGTGTTTCTCATGATGGAACATAGTACCATAAACGAATAACCTAATCACGCTTGTGGAAGCAAAAGCTTTTCGATTCAATATAATTTTTTGAGTTAAGAGATTTACAGGAATAATTGAACGAATAGCAAAGTTTGGACCAAATTCGAATCAGGCTCTTTGGCTAATGATGAGGACGTAACTCTGTGATATATGTTTCGAGCTGATTGCGATTAGATGTGGTTAAACGACAATCCAGTGCTACTGACCAATGCTTAGCAGTTGAACGAGTACTTGTAACAACACAGCGAGCTTCAGAGCGCTCCCAATGATTGTATACGATATCCACAAGCGATTTTGACGTTCATAATCGCTGATATAGCGTGAAGCGAATGTTCTTTCAGCCGCAACAGCAGGAATCAGTGTTTGAAGGCAGGACAGCAGCGTATTTCTCACGAAGTATAGAAGGAATAGCTTGGAGTCGATGGAACCTCAATTCATGATTGCGTGTGTATCGCGACATAGAGCCATCACTCCAGTGATAAGCAAAAATCGAGCTTGCAATTTAATGCACTACCAATCTTTCAAAATTAAAACTCTGGTTCAAATTTCATACAGATGTTGTCGCGGCTCGCGATGCAAGCCACTCCTCGGAACAGGAGGCCGGGAGCGCTGGTTGTCGCTTTACCGGGCGCGATACCGCTTTCGCGCTCGGACCTCACCTGCTGGGCACGCTGCCAAGTCACAGGGTATATAAGGGCGCGCAGGTCGCGGTCTACGCCTCTTCGAGTTTCACTCGTATTAATTGTTTTATGATATCGTTCGCGTTGGCAGCGCCTCCAGCAGCTCGCAGATGATCATCGGTTTCGAGCTGTTCAGCTTTTGTCACCTTCTTGGTTTTGGAGACGCGCAGCTAAACGTCATGGTTCGTTCTGCTTAGGAAGTATACTAGCGGGAGTGGAGAGGGGTCACACCGTCCCGGAAGGGCTAGGGCTTGCGGTTGACCCAGTGGAAAACCCGGAACTACGTGCTGGAGTGATCATCACCAAGCATTGACAGCAGGGGACGATGCGGCTCGTCCCGTGCCTATCTTTTCCTGGTTTTGGAGTAGTAGTTTTAGTAGCTTTAGCAGTTTTAGTAGTTTGTTATTGTGTGTTTTTGTAGACATATGTAACACGAACTAGTCGTGCGTGTGATAATTGTGGTATACGGGTTCGGAGTTTTAGCGTCGAGCAGACGCGCCATTTATTGTGCCGTTTATACGGGTAGGGATAGTCCTCGACAGCGGCCGTTAAGGCGTCATGAACCTTAACGGACGCGCGACATCGTAGGGGACAACGGGAGTCAGGGCCGGTAGTAATCTACCCTACCTGGTGGCATCATAGATGCCGGCAAGTTGGCACACATCGCGGAAAGATGCCAACTCCGCCGGCAGCTCGCGGAGTGATTGTAGGTTTAAATAATCTTGTATAATCTTAGTACGCGGTTATTTCGCTCATCAAATTTTGATAACGTAGACAGCCGCAAAACTGCTGCCTCGCGCCCGGTCGAACCTAAGTGTGCTAACTTCAAGTGCTGCCGCCTTACCACTCGACCATTCGGTCAATTCTTGCTGTTTGCATCAGCAGTGTGAGCAACGCACTGGTAAATGGCCGCCTGAAAGAAGGATCGATACATTGCGCGAGAGACTTTGACCTGAAAGAACAGCTGATTGATATGAGCGAGAGAACGGCGAAATCGGTGCAAATAAGATTTAGAAAGGATTGCAAAAAAAGATGGTGTTCCTTATGGTTCTAAGGCATTACTAGATTTTTTCTCTGTTAGAAAATCGCCGTTTTAAACAAGAAAAAGTTATATATTGAGAAAAATGAAGGTTTTTGGATGGAAAGTAGAATTTTTTGACATTTTCGCCTGACGTAAATCGTGTGATATCGCCGCAATTCGCAATCTCACAGACGCCGTCGGGAAAGGTGCCACCACCTCGACGTGGTAGGGGCACGTCGAGATGCCGGCAGCTCCCTCTCTCAAAAGAGCACGCTATTTCCCGTGCTCTCTGACCTGCCGGCAGCTGCCATCTCGCGGATTCCGCCAACTTGCCGGCAGGTTGCCGGCAACTGACCTCGCGAAGTTGCCGGCAGCTCCTCCTGGAATTCCAGATATTTTACTAAAGGAGGAGTTCTGGAGCCGCAGTTTTTTATGAAGTTTTCTACAGAGTCGAGGCGGCAACTTTATCGAGAAAATTTTTTGAAAAAAGGCCTGGGACGGCCTAAATTTCGGTTCTTAGTTTCTGGCCACCTCGCGGAAAGGTGCCAGCAACCTGCCGACGAGACCTGCCGCCAGGTCGGGGGGATTACTACCGGCCCAGGTGTAGATGCGGCGAGCACACGAGCCGCCACAGATGTCTGAACCGGGAGAAAAATCAATATTGTTAAAATATCACTTACCCTTTGTGCCAATTGCTTCGAGGTCATACAATATAATGAAAACTTGCGAAGCCTGTGTTACTGTATAAGCAACAAGATGTGCCTAAAGGTTCAGCTTAAAGGATGTAAATTTACTATGCATTGCGCCCTGTTTATTTATAAGGCATGCAACCAAAAATGCGTCTGTTAACTCCACTATAATTTACAGAACTAATTATCGCACTCGAAGCTTTGTACAAGCCATAACAATAACAACTTCTACCTCTCGCATACCGTATAACTACAATTCTCCGCTGCTACTAAACTAAGTCGCTTACCAAAACATGAAGACATTGATTGAATTTTTACCCATTAACCGTAGAAACTTGCTGCAAAGTTAGAAATTTTCGGTGTTCCCTCTTTCTTCGATCACAGTAAGCTTGTACGCTTAACTTCCAGAAAACATGATTCACAATACATTGAGAGAGGGTATTTATACTTAGGTTCAGGGATCTAATTGCAGCCAACAAGATTGCTGCAAAAGTAATGCCCGTTTTCTTAGCCCCGGCTTCAACATAACTTTTTTCATCAAATTTCCTTCTTTAGAAAAGACTTGGTACACTATCAAGAGCCTTTTTTCATGCTCTATTTAATGGTGGTTGAAAAAAGCTCTTAGCACTCGAAATCAGAATTTCCGCATTTACTTTTCTGGTCATAATTCAAGCACGAATGAAGGCATTTTTGAAGGTTCAGCTACTATATGTAATAGAAATTGTCTACATTATGCAAATGCACACTTTTCTATTTTCTTAGAAATTGCCTATACATATCAGCGTCTCAGTAGGTAGCCGATTTGGTCATTCTGTGGCCCATAAACTTCTCTTAAAGAACGTAATCGTCAAAGCTTTGCTCATTTCCATAAGCGTAAATATAGATCTCCTGCTGACAGTTTTTGCACAAACGTTTAGCTTTCTAGTACGCAAAAAATCAGATTTCATAATTTGGGACTCTGGGGCCTACAAAAAATGTTAGAAAAAGGTGACAAATTGCGAGTGAGTCAACGCCTCTGGTGGTCATTTTCGCATTAGAAAATGTAAATTATTAGAAAGTTATAGCACGTCACGTGAGCACTCACAAAACGCGCATTACTTTTGCACCAACCTAATAGAACCTGCTATTTTAGCCGCGTCAAAAAATGCTTTTAGGCACTGAAAGCTAAAGTTTTACTCAGAATCACATATTATAGTTATTTATTTTAAGTCTTGGTGAAAAGATGAAAACAAAGTTATTGTAGTACAATGCAAAGAAACCTTCCAATTTTCCCTGCTTGAATACAAAATTATAAAAAATTATGAGAGCCAGCGAACACTTGGCACCTTGAAATCTTCTAAATATTATACTAATCTCACCAATGTAAGACAATTTTTTTGCTTAAGGTGATTTCTTAACAAGGTAATCTCCATTTTTATGTAATTGATAAATCACTGAATCTAAAATGGTTTTTTGTATGATAAAACGTGTTACATATCCCTACTACAGTTGCTGCACTCCAAAGATTCTGCCGCAACTTGTAACAGATCAGAATACGAATTTAAGAGTTTTTTTTCTTCTAGTTACTCATGGCTGAAAAATGTTAGAAGTAAGCGGAAACATATCGATAGATGGTAATCAAACGGCAGTAGTAAAAATTGAGAAACAAATTCAATAACGTTTGAGAAGGAGAAATAAGCGAGCTATGTCGCTGTTTTATGGAAAGAATTTCTGCATGAAGCTAGAAGCTTTTCCTTTTATTTGCTTTGTAAGATGCTCAAACAGAGTAACTCATTTTTTGCACAAATATTAGGGTGAATAGTAAAAATGGGACACCTAGAATTTCATAGATTAGAATATATTGCTCTCTTTCAGACAACACCCATATAATGTCATCAGCTATTCAAAATTTTTTATACTTGCTGAAATGTAAAGTCAGTCGCCAGTGAAACATGTGAGACCATCCAAAGTACCACTGCTGCAATAGGTAAAGGTACAGTCACCAAACCCACAAAGGTGTGCTGGCCGCAACGTTTAAAGTCAGGGGATATGATCTTCTGAAACGAAGATGCGCATTAGTTACTTCTTTGCAACTTGACGCCGTATTTGGCCACGATCTGATAGAGCTGGTTACGCTCTATTCATACGTACGCAGCTTACCTCAAGTTTCATTTGTCCTTGTAAGATACAGGTCAAAACTTTTTTTTTGGTTTTTATAGAGCCATAAAATCGCGATTTTCCGAGGTATTTTTTTCAGAAATAAAAAATCCTATATATCCATTATATTAATCGAAGTGCATGGAGGGCTCTTTCGAATGGTATGTCAGTTGAATCTTTTACGGTATAGAAGCGCAAGAATGAGCGATGTTCGAAAAATCCGTTCAAGTCCTTCACGGTGCCACGCTCAGGGTTGTGAGAGAGCAGCGTTAACGAGTTACCAGAACAATGGGCGAAAGCCGCTTAGATAAGCGACGTTGGGTTGCAGCCTACTTGCTCTTTATCGAAGCAAAAAATCTCAAAATATAATAAAAATCAAGCTGTCCCCATTTTTGCAGTTCACCCTAATATATTGCGTTGCAAAAACGGTTCATAACTATACGAACACCCCATATTTTGCCATTTCTCAGTCTTTTTGAGAGAAATGCTAGAAACCATTGGCACCATGTAGAGCGTCGTCGGAAACAGTGTTAGTGTTACAAAAATGAAAATCGGGTCAATCCTGGACAAGCATTGTGCGCCAAACACATTTTTACCGGTTCATATTTATACGAACACCTCAATCAGAGCGTTTTTTTTTTCGCTTAACGCTGCAATCTTTAACATTCAGACTTTTATACAAGGCCACGATCTCAAAGTCTGGGACACCACTACGCGCTGGACCTAATAAAGTTTGAAAAGGAGAGCTTTACTCTACTTTCATAGCTCGAAATGGTTGCGCACTAAGACGGTTACAAAAATGCCTGCTTTATAGAGATTTTAGACCTTTATCTAGCTCATAGGGATTAAGCGATAAGAAATCAATAAATGTAAGGTCCAACGCCCAAAAAATATTGATGTAATCGCATATGAAAGTCTGAATGTTAAAGATTGCAGCGTTAAGCGAAAAAAAAAGCTTGATTGAGGTGTTCGTATAAACATGAGCCGGTAAAATGTGTTTGGCGCGCTTGTCCAGAATTGACCCGATTTTCACTTTTGCGCCTTTACTGTTTCCGGCGACGCTCTCTCACATGTGCCAATGGTTTCTTGCATTTCTCTCCAAAAGTCCGGGAAACGGCAAAATATGGGGTGTTTATAATTATGAACCGATCTTTATTTCCTCAGCGTAGAATTTTGAATACGAAGAATATGGAGGCACAAAGACAGATTTCTCCATGAATCTTAACCAGATTGAAAGCAGCTTCCGGACAAAGGAATCAAGTAATAAGCTTCAAAAACGCGATTATATAACAAATCAGATGCTTTTAGTTGGTTATATTGAGATGAATAGGTTTATATGACAAAGAAGGAAGTCAGAAGTTTGCTGGAAAGCTGCCAAAATTACAATAGAAATATTGTCATGTAAAAACAACGAAAGTATTTTCTCAGGCAAAAAATTTGCATTCTCTTTGGAACATGATATAAAGGATATCCTATAAGTATGTATGCATTGTTTGACGCCACTGTCTCTCTTACCACCAAGCCTTTTAAAGACCTTTTGTCACTATTCTGTAGAGCTAGTCTCAACTTAGATTTGCAGTACTAAGATTGCAGTAGAATCTTCATGCAACTTTATTGTGAGTCAGCCTCCCTTTCCAAAAATTTTGAGAGAAGTCCAATAGCAGGTGTAACAGGGTTTTAAGCACGCTTATTCCACTGCTTTAATTTGTATGAGTTTTCAAAGCTTAGGCTTGTACTTAATATCTTAAGAAACACTGAAAAAAAGTTGTTACGGTATATTTGGTATATTTGGCATAACTTGACGAAGTATCACGGTAGTACGCAGTCTCATATATGAAATTAACTACCCTGTCAGCCTAGTGTCAAAGTCTCAAAAGCTTTGGTTGCGCCTCCTGTTGCAGCAAGTTCCATTTGTGACTCACAAAAGAAACCCCTTTTGGTCCAAGTAGCCTTTCATGGAAACCTATATCCCTTTGAAGAACTAAGCGCTGATTTCAAATCTGTTTTTATCTGACAAGCCCCTCGGACATCAAAATATGAGTGTTTTTGGAGAAGCAGTTTGCATATAAAAAAAGACAAATTTGGAATCATCGTTTGAAGCTCCACAAAGCAATATAGGTGTCATGTAGAAAGGCACTTCGAACTTGAAAGATTTCCCTTGTCAGAACCCTTGGAACCCACTGTAGTCTTACAGTAACGATGAGAATGGGGTAACTCGCTTCGTGCAGTTTATTTAACAAGGGAAGGATGATCGGTCGAAGTGGCCATTTGGAATGAGCTTTACATTAGGAAACCGTGTTTGGTAAGGCAAACTCAAAACTACTTTCGCTAGTTGCCGAGCGGTTTTGTGGGGAGAGTTATGAGGCCATTTTTCTCCGGCGCACCCAATAATGAGCGAGGCGCTAGAACAACGTAGAGAGTGTGGCAATGGCGCGCTGGCAAGGCAGCGGATTACGAAGCAGATGGTCGAGGGTTCGGATCTTGTTGCTGCTACTTTGTTTTGCAGTTCTGTAAAAATCTATTGAGTGACAGTAGACGAAAAAATAACCGAAAATTACTCATTACTACGCAGTTGAAACAGGCTATTTACTGCAAAAAAGTCACTATTTCTACAATAAGCTATAATCTTCCGCAATATACAGGGTGTCCGTAAAGTATGTATACACTGTTTGATCGTTAATATCTCTTTTCCCGAATAGTCTTTTGCCTTGCTTCAGGTACCTTGTTGTAGAGCTGGTTTCAACTTAGATTTGCAGTATAGAACGAATCACGCATCTCTCTTCATTACTGTAGGATTACGGTAGAAACTTGAAACATATGGAGTCAATCTGGAAAAAGCTGCCGTTTCAAAAATTTCCGAAAAGATGTGCAAACTTGTGTAATAGGGTTTTTATGGACGCTGAGTTCAATACTCAACTATTCACAAGATTGCGAAGC